GGTTAGAAATTCAACGGTACGACATAGGTACCGTTTGATTGCCGACAGTCATTGCGGACAAGCTCAGTTTCATCATTACGGCTTGTCGATTGCCGCCCCATGCGTTCATCATCTCCAGTGGATTTCACCTTTCACGGAATCGCTTGTGTCATTCACACCAGAATTAGGAGGATTACTTTGGCCTCAGGGCCTTCAAATAATGGCTTGGCAGCGAAAGTGTTAAAAAATCTATCTTTTGCAAAATCATTTCATCGTCTGTGCAGAGAACTTTCTGGTGTGGCGAGGCCTGAGGTGAATGGCAATTTGAGGCAGCACGTGATTTGAATATTCCAACAGTACAATGCAAAGAATTTCCTCGATAATCAAGAACCCGTCCCTCTCTCGCGGAAGCGAATGCGAAGCCTGCGCCTTCAAGATGCACGAATCGAAGCGAAAGAAAATGTGGAATTTCTTCTATGCGACTGATCGAAAGAACAGAGTTCAAGTTTTCCGATTGTCATGCAAGAAAAGGCCTTTGTGTACGTTATAGGCGTTGTTTTCTTCTCCAGGAAAAAAAGGGAGAAAATGAATTGTTGAATGAATGGAAAATAGAACTGCAAAATACGGAATCGAAGAAAAGTCAGGAACTGCCTCGCGTCTCATACCAAACGTTCGACAAAGTGACCGAATCTTGTCGCTCCTTCGTCAACGTTCAAACGGAAGAACAAGAAAGAAGCGAGAAGGGGAGGGGAAAGGGCATTGAAAACGTAAAGTTTATCAGGATCAGACACTTGAAATGGTTACAATAGCAGGAATGCTCATGTACCGATCATTCCCGTATAATCTAGAGGTGGTGAGATGAGGAAACCATAAAAGAAAATTTTAAAACCATAAAACACAAATTGACGTTGCGCAATTCAGAAGCATTCGATCGTTCAGCAGACATCCTCTTAAGGGATTAATGGATTCTGATTTGGATTCAATGGAATCGATCAGTTGTACAAGAGAAATCGGTACTATGGAACTCATTTAACACATTTAACATTAAACGCCGGGAACTACGTTTTGATGCAGCTCGCTTTTCAAATTTTTTAAATATATCGATACAAGCAACCAGTTGTGCGACCATAAGTTTTGTCCTGTTCTAAGTATCACAGAGCTCCAGGTTCCTGTGTCTAGACTGTCAAACAGTTTCAAAGAGCATTCATCGGTGCCAATCCCACCAACACCAAAAAAGAAGTTTCCAGCAAGACAGTGCAAAGTGTGTTTGAAGAACAAGAAACGCAGTCAAACTAGGTATATTTGTAGATCATGTCAGGTACCACTCCACACAGGGGATTTTTTTTTTTCAGGCATACCACACCAAAAAGCAGTATTAGTTGGTTCTCTAGACATTTCTGGACAATTTGGTGCTTTGATTTTTCCATGTATGTAGTTTAGTTTCATAATAAAAAATTTTCAAGTGTTGTATTTTGTGAAAAATGGTTGAGCTACAGGGATTGGGCGAACTTCATACATCTGAGCGTCAATGTGTTAATCGAAGTTGACCACTAGATTGAGGAAAAAGTGTTGCATGCAATGGATTGGGAGCAATGGAAGCTCCACGAATTACTCTGTGACCCATTTCACCTAATCCGTTACATTTTTCAAAAACAACAATGCACAATTCCCATCATCTTCTTAAGAGTGTCGTTTTGAGTCAGGTATAACAACGCTTGCATCAACCAGCGTTTGAAAATCATTTGAAAATTTTGAGATATCAAGAACGTATTTGAGTGAGGAAGGTTTCGCATCATTTGATGCTCAAGCCACATTTATGCTCAAGCTACATTTGTTCGGAACGATGCACAAGTTCAACTACTCGATACCCGAGGACATCCCCCCCCCCCTCCCCCAAAAAAAGGGGGATTCCTGGGATACCGGCACTGGTTCCTCTCCACCAGGTACCGGCCTCGGTTTGGTTCGCGGGGCTCTCGGGAGATGGCAGAGCTGCGGGGGGATGTCGCTCTCGGGGCTTTTTATTTTTGCTCGTACCTCCAGCAAAAAAAATTATGTCGAGTGGGTGTCAGCTTCATACTAAGAACAATCCCACGAATTAGAAAGGCGCCGAGATAAATTGTAAAGTCCTTGCACTACTAGGTGAAATAATGGATCGGCTCTGGGTTCCAGAATTTCCTTCGAATAAATTCGAGATTTGATTCGCTCCTCGCTTCTCGAGGCTTTATCTATGGTGATCTATATAGGCGAGTTGCCGGCAAGTGGAAGGTTTTCGGGTCGAGCAAGAACTTTTATTTCAACTTTGGTTAATTGTCTGCAAATTAATTGATGAATTAACGAACCTCATCTTCTATTGTGAGTCTGAGGTTTCCTGCTTTTATTCATTTTCTCAGTGGTATTTTTTCGTTTTTGAGGGTAGTGGTTAGGCTTCCACTGTTGCATCCTGCAAAAAAAAAAAAAAGGGCTTCATGGAATCATCGGAGAATATTTTTTTTAAAACCAAATTCCCAAATTTCCCGTGCCACTTCCCTCCTCATTTTCACCAGGGAACGCGAGGGGAAATTCCCCGAGCTGCCATCGGAAGAAGACGGCGGCTCGGCCGCCGTCTTCCACCCGGCCCTCCTCCCCTCCACCGAGGCCGAGTCGAAGGAAGCGGCCGGGGAGAAGCGGCGGTTGAAGCCGGGCCAGCGCCCTCCCTCCGGGGTCCCCGCCCCGCTCTCCAAGCCCGGGCCACCCGCCCCGCGGCCCGTCAGCGCCCGGCGGCCCGCCCTCAAGAAGGCCCGGGAACTGGAGCAACACGTGGAGAAGATGGAGGAGTCCAAGTTCCTTCCCGCCTTGAGGCAACTCTGCTCCGAATACGACAGTGGGTCCTTGTTAATTAATTTCGACTATTTAATCATTCGTTAATCGATAAGTACCCATTAATCGCTAATCGATAAATACTCATTAATCGTTCATCGCTAATTATTAATTAATCGTTAATCGACATTCGTTTATCGTTGCTCCGAATCGATAAGCTCGTCAGTGTTGATGATCTCCTTCCGAGTTGATGAACCAGCCAGTAATGGGGGCGGAGTCCGCTCTTTCGCCACTTGGCATTAATGTGAGAGGCACGAAATGGAACCAAAAAGGATCCGCTCTCACTCGAGTGATTAGTTTTTTTCCCCGGTTAATACATGAACCTAATTCGGTGGAGTGAGTCAACCGGGGCGGGGCGGGGATCGTGCCTCCCTCAGGCGTCTGGCGGAAGCGGCGGGAGGACTGGAACCGGGAGCAGAAGCACGACCCGCACATCATCCGGAGCGAGAAGCGGCTGGAGCTGGAGAGGGAGATCCGGCTTCAGGTCGACGCCAAGATGAGGGATGAGCTGGAGAAACTGAAAGCCGTACGATTTTTTTATCTTTGCATATTTATTATCGAAGTCTGATTTATTTATGTTTATTCGTATCTATATTTGTATGATATTATATTTGTATCTCCATTTTTTACATAATTTATATTTATTGCATTGTTCCCATATACATTTTAAAACATACCCCCATTTAAACTAACAACCGTATGACCCCTCCGCCCCGCCCCGCCCCGCCCCCCAGAGCATGGACAAGGACTACGTGAAGCGAAAGAAGAAGAAGGAACGAAAGAAGCGAAAGAAAAAGGACAAGAAGAAGAAAAAGATGAAGGACCTGACCCCAGACCGGAGCCCGGAGTCCCTCTACGAGGAATTAGTGGAGAACGGGATCGTCAAGTTCCTGCCGCGGACGCGGCTCGCGGAGTTCCGCGGCCCGGTGCGGCTCGCCGGCCGGGAGGGGGAGGCACCGTCGCTCGGGGACGTCCGGAGGGCGATCGCCGAGTACTGCGTCCTGGGACTCGGTCTGTCCTTTACCATTGATTTTATATTTATATGATTTATTTTAGAGGTATCCGGCGCTGCACGGGTGAATATTGTATACGGCTAGAAATTGTTTTAAATATTTAGCTTTTACTACACAACAAATTGCAAAATTCCGGTTGGCGAGCTGCATGTTAGGACTTACAAATTTTTTTTTAACGAGTCCCCAAAATTCTGACTCCTTTGGGGGGTCTGTAGAAGCGAATCTGAGCTAAGTAAGGTACCCCGGGGTGTCCGGATTTCGAAACGCCACCCAGCCGATGTGGTCAGAGGCGTGGCCGGGCGTAAAGGGTAATGAAGGACAGACAGGCGAACGAACGCTCTGAAATATAGTATGGAAGATAGATAGATTCATCATTTATTTATAATTTAATTATTTGATTATATTTTAATTAATTTACTATTTAACTATGTCTCGATGAAATCATATTTAATCGAGGATTAAATATGACTTCTCGATTAAATTTGTCGCTTCAAATGGCATTGCCATGAAATCAGTTGGAGCTTCGAGGGCGAAGGCGTGTGGGGGGGGGAGAGGGGGGGGGGGGATCGTCGAAAGCAAGTGGAGACTTATTTTATATTTAATTTTTTTATTTTTAAAAACCTGAGACTCCCCCCCGGGGCGGATAAGCACCACAATGAATTATGCACTCCGGCCTGTCTTAGGGCCGAGCCGGGTTCTTCCAGCCCGCAATCAGTGAGCGGTTGTCGATCCCTGATCTAGAAGGATTTCATTAGGTGAATGCGGAATGAGAGGCTTTAATCATGGGTGGGGAAAGTCCAGGAAAGTTGAAAGGTTGTGGGGTGGTGAGTAACGGCTTCGCGGAAGACGCTTTTTTCCTTTTTCATGTTTATATATTTTTAAAATTAATATTTGCTATTTTATTCATTTTTTCTGCTTATTTTATTTTTTTCGATTTGCTTTTCGCCATGTTCTTTTTCCTCTTTTCTCGAGCGGCTCCCCGATTGCGCGATGTCTGACGATTGGGATGCATCAGCATCAGCATCAGCATCAGCGAACCATCAGGCTTCGTTTGTTCCATCGAGATCGTTCAACTCCTTCCCGATGTACCAGTTCTAATTGTGGCCGGCCTCGTACTTCATTTTGTAATTATTTAGTATTTTGTTTAGTATTTATTTACAGCTACATTTAAAAAATCTCGACGCAAGTACAACGCGCTGCAAAAATACTTAATCCCACTTCCATTAATTAACATAATTAATGAGTAATTCAGTGGTTAATTACCGCAAGCTGCCCGTCTCGCTCCACCATGCGCAAATCGAGAACCGATCGAGGGAAGGTCCACAGGCGCGCCTGTAGCATTAAATTTTCGGCTGGCGGATTGCACAGTGCAAGTTGCGAGGCGTTTTCCGGGTCGTTCAGCTGCGTAGGAGAAACTGCGTCTCGACGAGGAATCACGTGCGAGTCACGTGGGAGTCACGTGGGAGTCACGTGCCGGAGGATGCGCGAGCGGCCGAGTCAGGGTTGGATCGATCTGGCAGCACTGGATGCTTTCTTTAGCCTTTCCTGCTTGCCTCGCGTCGGGGAGATGGGGGGGGGGGGGAAGGGAAGAAAGAAATGTTTATCGTCGAGAGGTGAGGAATAAGACGGCTCGGTCCCTCCTCGAAGGTGGAACTGCCTTTTTACGGAAAATCCGAGGATTCTCTCGTCTATTAAGGACGGAGGCGCCTGGATCGATGGATCGATCCATCCCGCAGACGCTTTTTTGCTCTCGTTCTTACCTGTCGGGAAGGAAATGGACGGATAAACAAGCCGGTCGCTCAGACGAGAATATCAAAGACAGACGAAAGACGAGTCACTTTGCACCTGACGCTCGATTCCCCTCAGTCGAATCCGCTGTTCGATTCCTCCCGTCGAAGCAGGGTTGCCAACCCTCCTGGTTCGAGCGGGAGACTCCCGATTTCATTCCCTTTCTCCCGATCAGCTGGAAGAAGATGTCGGGAAATCGGGATTCTCCGGGTTTCGCTCGGAGAAAGAGGGAAAAAAAGGCGATGGATCGGCAAGTCCCGAGGCCTCACACTCATCCTAATCCATAAGAATTTATCGAACGGGGGAAAGAGCCGGCAACCCTGCGTCGAATCCGCTGCTCGATTCCCAGGTTCCCCCGAGGTGCGTCGGAAGGCACCGCTGACTCGGTCCCTGCTCATCGCGGGTCCGAAGGGCAGCGGGAAGAAGCAGCTGGTCAGCGCCATCTGTTGGGAGACGGGGGCGACGCTCTTCGATCTTACGGCTGCCAACATCGCCGGGAAGTATCCCGGGAAGTCGGGTCTCCTCATGCTCGTCCACCTGGTCAATAAGGTACGCTTTCATTCATTATTTATTTACTCACGTGTTTTATTCATTCATTCATAATTTACTTATTGATTTTGTATTTTGTAAATTTTTTATTTAAAAAATTAACGTATATTTTATATATTTATTATTTTTTATTTATTAATCATTTTCGTGCATATTTTGATGGATGGGTCGCCCGAAGGTGTCAAGGCTGATGCAGCCGTCGGTGATCTGGATGGACGACGCGGAGAAGGCGTTCCTGAAGCGGGTGCCGAGGGGAGACAAGACGGAGCCGCGGCGGCTGAGGAAGGAGCTGCCCAAGCTCGTGAAGGCGATCACGGCGGATGACCAGGTCATTCTCGTCGGGACGTCCTCGAGTCCGTGGAACTTCGAGCCGAAGGTCGGTCCTTTTCGGGCCGAAGGTCGGTCCTTTTCGGGCCGAAGGTCGGTCAGAGATTGGTCCTTTCGTGTGGGCGAACGGCGAGAGAATCGAGCACAGTAGGAAATTCAGCACGTGCTAAAAGTTTGGGGGGAAAATACTCGAAGTGAGCAACCCTGTAAAAACAGACGTAGAACGCGGAAACGATACGAGAGAAATCCGGAGACACCCTGAAAGAAATCAGGGAACCTCACTCTTCTCCCTCTCAGGGCCTGGCGCAGACGTACCAACGCGTGATCCTCGTCCCCGCCCCAGACTACCCGACCCGCCTGGAACTCTGGCAGACGTGGCTCCGGGCCTCGCTGGGCCCCGCGGTGCCTCCCCCGGTCGGCGTCCTCGCCCCGCCGGGCCCCGCCGCGCCCCCCTGGGTCGGCCTCCTCGCCCGGCTCTCGGACGGGTACACGGCCGGCTCCATCCGGGACGCCATCGGGGAGACGCTCACGCCGAAGAGGCTGAGGAAGTTGGAGAAGAAACCGCTGGATCCGGCCGAGTTCATCCCGGCCCTGGCCGAACGGGAACCCATCTACGAGTCTGTTTATTTATTTATTTATTTTTAAATATTTCTTAAGGGGGGTTACAAAGGAAAAAAAATGTTTTTCGCTTCGACGTCGTGGGGATGAAAATTTGGCAAGCTTTGACCGGCAGATTGCGCTTACAAGAATAAATTGGGCACGTAAGGTTTCGTTGTCTTGACACGTCTGCAGGCGCTAAAATCTGGAGTTGAGCTTTCTTTCTCTTGTAACCAACTACTACAGGTTGGCCGTGCCGTCGTTTCCCATCGATGAAGCGGAAAGCGTTTCTGCACGAACGCCATCATCGTCCTGGTCGAACGGACTCGTGCGTTGCTGCTCGGGGCGGGAGAGGGCGAAATTGGCTCCATTATTGCCAATCCGAAAGCGATTTAAAGGCCGAAGTGAGGACGGTGCTGATGTTTTTTCGGCTTCCCCCTGGATCGAATCCGTCTTCCGACAAAATGTCGAATGCCAACGTGTCGACCGTCCCGATCGTCGAAATGAACATTTAGGGTGATGAAACATCATGAAACAAAATGGACATTAAAGCGGCATTATCGGATAGTTCTCTGTTTAAAAAATCAACCCTAATTTTCTGCTGCCCAGGAAGTCACCAAAACGATAGCCCCTCGGTGAAGTCTCAAAGAAGAAGTTGGAAGCTGAGCTGTTCAGAATGGAAACCACTTTTGGTGGTTGCTTTGTCGGTTCATCACGAAGCTTTGTGGAATTCCGTTGCACTTTCCAGGAATTAGTAACCATCCACGCACAACCAACATCATGTTAGCCTTCGGGGGAATGCGTGTTTGTCGGTCCGATCGGGATCGTAGCCATGACGGTGCACTTATGAAATCGGAATATATCAGACATTTCGAAGATTCTACGTTTTTCCACATTTTGACGCCTTCTGTATGATTAAAATCGACATTTTGCCCGTTCGACGTTTTTTGCAAGTCGACATAAAATCTAACGACATTCTGGCTTTCGACATTATGTTATAGAACCGATCGAATCGAGTGAACGAGGTCGAGGCGAGAAAGGCGACAGGTTCGATTCCGCGTCGAGCCGAATACTTGCGGGATGGGAAATGCGACGTCTCCGAGGATTATTGGCACGTGGGCGTTCGAGAGGGTGAGACGAGCGGAAAATGCGGAGCCGAGAGACGGTCGGAGTTGGCTGGCCCCCAACGAGGAAATTCGATCGTGTCGGGGCACACGGACTAATGGAAAAGACAATGGCTGAAGGACTACTCTTGTCAGTCACTGAAATAGTCGGAACTGGGGGAAATGGAGACGCATTTTTTTTTTTTACGTCTAAAAATAACTCGATGAAATTTACAGGAGAGGCCAGACAGGAAAATAATTTCCTCTACGCACTTCCAAAGTTTCGCCACGTCCACGTGTCAGCATCTAAAGGAAGCGGTCGATTTTTTCCTCCCCGGCCTGTTAATCGGCGTTTGGCACTTCGTGGTTTGATGATGTGCGAGAAAGTCCAGATAACTGTCGAGTCGAGGTCAAGGCGGGAGCGATGGTGTTCGTGCAGGAACCAGATAACTGTTGTGGCTCCACGACATCCGACGACCGATGAGCGGTATGGTTTGATCGCACAGGGAGGAAGCGGCGGCGTTCGAGCAGTGGTACCTGACCAAGACACCGCTGGGGAAGCGGTGGGCCAAGCGGCAAGAGGAGAGGGAGGACGCCTCTCCCTTCAAGAGGGCGGGGAAGGGGAAGAAACGGAAGAAGAAACGGAGGATCAAGCGGAAGGGGCATGGAGGCGGTGGGACGAAGAAGAAGGTCAAAAAGCGGAAGTAGGGAGGTCGCTTCTGGTGCGCTGTGGAAGCTCAATGGGACTCGGGGGTGTAGTAAACAAGGATTCATACACTTTAATAACAATAAATGCATCACCGGAGGTGTACAATATATAGCTGCCTCAGCAAAAAAAAGTTAAATGGGCGCTATTAGTGAAAAAATGAGAGTGCCTCAAAAGTAAACCAAAGCCAAGGTATGCTTCATAGATCCATTTTTTACCTGGCTTCGGAGAGATGTAAGGGGTACCAATGGCGTTCAGGTTCAGTTCATTTAGAGCTAATTATTTTACCCAACAAGAGGGATTTCAGAGCTTAATTTCTTTGTTGCCATATGCAACAACGTTGGGAATAAATTGACGGTGAACTCTTTGAGGAGAATTTCGTAGAAGCTTATTTGAAAGTTAAGAGGTTCACCTTGTAACTCCAGTCATCCATCCCTCTAGTTTGAGTAAAATCACTCCATTCACCAGATCCAATGTGATCATGGTACACTATATGAAATGAGCCAGTAATTGAGTGAGCTCCATTTGGAAGCTTAAAAGTCAGATAATAAATGGATCAAGAATGTTTCTGATCTGCATTGAAATCTTGTGGTGCTTGGTCCATTTTTGAGGCATAATCTTTTTCACTCGTGACCCTTGGACAACAGCTGCATTAAAAAACAGACAGCACCATGTAAATACAGTACCATACAAAACAATTCGTGCACTTTTAAATGCCCAGGTTACAAGTAGAAAAATGCTACTTGAGGCCTCTTGTTTACGGTTCTCCAGAATGGATGGAAGCCCACAGCAGTTCCTGATGTCCTGATGATGATGATCCATGGTTCCTTCTCAGAATCAAGGATAAGCCTCTTTGTAAACACCCTTGCTGTATACATCCTTGTACCTCCTTCCTAGGAAGAGAGGATCCTTCATCTCCTGCTCAAAAGCAACCTCAAAGCTCTTTACGCTCCTCTTTGATGCAGATGAACTCTGGTGAACCAGAGGTCTCCCATGACAGAATTGTGCCTTTTGCATGGGGTCCAAGATCTTGGTCTTGTGCACCAGTGTTGGCTTGGGGTCGTTTGCGTACCACAGGTCGTCATAGACGGGGTTGTGGCTCACGTGTGCTGTTGAAACCCGGGCACAGCTTCCATAGACTGTATCCAAATCGCTCATATTGGTTACTACTGTGTTTGATCCTGAAGAACTGGCTTGGGCTGGTTGCAGTCGAACGTGACGGAAGGCATCAGACTGCTTCGAAAGCAGCCCGACTGTTGGAATGAATATGAGAACTAGGGTCACCGTTGCAGATGAAAGGATTGCGATGCAGATGACAGGATCATGGTAGGTTGTTGGGGCGAGGAAGTACACGATGCTCCATGATGCAAAGATGGGGACATTAAACAACACCGACAGGAATACCCAACGTACCTCCAGGTAATTTCTAGAAGTGCGGTAAAGCATCACCGACATGACGAGGGCCAAAACCAGTAGGACAGCATCATATATGTGCAGCATGATAAAGTCTGACTTTTCATAAAAGCAATCCACATTCTCAGGCCATCCATCCTTCAACTGAAACCATTGGGTGCAGATCACGATCTGAACTGATAGGATGAAAAGGAGGGTCAGATAGATATTGGAGATGGGGGTTCGACCTCCGAGCCCAATTTGGTCTTCTGCACGTAGGAACATCAGTTTTACGATCAGAGCACCAAAGCATAATGTGTACGCAAGTGGATGGAGAAAGAGACGCCAGCTGCAAATAGTATCAGAATTCGGCAGGATGAACAGGATGATGTTGGCATAGAGGCATCCGATGGCAAACAGCAAAATAAGAGATATGCTGTGAAACTTCATGAGCTGAGGCTCCGAACACATGCGGACGAACATGTAGACGAAGACGAAGATGGTGATGAGTATTCCTGCTACAGCCAGGACGATCACAGCCACGACCCAAGGCCTCGACATGATGTCTGTTGGGGTGACATTCCCTTTGTGGGATCCATGATGGGTGTTTCGTCGCTCCTCCAGGGTCTTCTTGGTGATCAGCAGCAGTTCCTTGGAACGGCGATGTAACTTGGGATCAGAATTTTCTCTCAGGGGAAGAAGATAGGTGGTTCCCTCTTCATCTGCATGTGTCAGGTTTGCATCCCCCATTCGAAGTGTGGCTCCAACAACTCTGTTTGAGACCACAGCAGAGGGTAATTGTTCATATGTCCCAGAACCTTCTCCAGAGTCCAGCATAAATATCTGCTGTGGCATTTCTTTTTTTCTTTTGATCTCTTGGTCATCAGTCAACTTTGAGAACTGCAGCAACTGTTGCAAAAAAAATAATGATAATCACCACATATCTTCAGTCAAAGGAGGGAGTTAAATGACTGGACCATACTTCAAAGGCATGAGGTTTGCGTTGACGCCAAAGAGATCTCCCACCGTGCCGCTTGTCTTGCGCTGTCAGACGACGCAGCACAGAGGTCCTGATGTCATCCAAGGGGCATCTTGCAACATCTTCTTCCTTGCACAATTCATTGATGGTTCTCTTCAAAGTTTCCTCAAGTCCTTGCAAGGCTAAGAGGATTTGCTTTCCCTAAATACAAATGAAATAATAGATACGTACCACATCTGTTCCTCAAATTAGAATTGCCAACATTCTCAAACGATTTTTCTGCTGAAGACTCCAAAAGAAACTCACATATGAATCACTCATTAAAGAATTCTCCAGCAAAGTTTCCTGATCCATGGTACATACTGAATCCGTTGCTTTGGTGATGAGATTTGAGTGCAATGTGCACCCAAGCTTCTTCATGGCGTATTCATCCAACAGTTTCACAAGTTCTGTTTTATTTCCATCCCTCTGAAATTTCAGATGCAAACAGCTTTTTAGAAGCATGCTCCAAACCAACACATTTGGAAATGGCAGGAGAAGAATTGCCAACTTTCAGATGGAGATTTCCCTTACAATACCAAATCTCCTTAGTCCACAGCATACTTTATAGCATAAGTGTGTAATGCCAATTATGTAAATTCCAACCAATATCTTACAAAGGATGCTTCACAGTAATTATCAAGGGATTTTATATCAGTTCTGGATTGGTAGGCACACATCCTGAAACATTCATACCCCATTTCAAACTGCTTTGTACCGTTGTCACACCACCAATGAAGGTCACATAAAATGAAGTGAGGATCAATTATTGCCAACATTCTTCCACATCAGTGACCCTATATTTTCTTTTCTTCAACTCTTTTTTTTTCAATTTGCAAATGGGACCTGAGTATCAGTCATCCCTGTTACCTTGTAATCTATCATGTAGTGTCCAAACTTCCTAAGATTTTGTTATTGAAACATTTACAGAGTGGTATATATGAATGTATCCATTGTATTGAGTAGAGAGTGGGTTTAAACATACTATATAGATGCCTTGAAACCAAAAATCTGATGGAAAAAGTTATGAAGGGGTGCTTACAACTTGCAAAACCATAAGTAAGTGGTGACAGCTATAAACAGTACATTAATACACATATCTCATCAATGAATCTATTCATATGAGCCACTCAGTCCTACAACACCCAGTCAATCTTCTCCATACCTATACTACAACTATGAGCACTAAACTGAAAAGGAATATTCACTGTAGAATGAGTAGGTATCTCTTGTATGCAATTATCTATATCTGCATTAAGTGTGCCATATTTTCTTGGAAATTTTCTCTCAAACACCAAACACTGTCAACTCAGACTTTCTAATGAATGAAAACATAAAGTCATAGTAATTGCTGTTTGAGGAATCTAATTTACACAACTAGACTCAAATTGATTCAAGCCTCAGAATGCAACCCTAAATCCTAAAACATATGCAAATAATTCCTGTATATTAATATCTTATGCCATTTCTTTCTTAGCAAAATTCTGTTATGGTATGACAGAAGGAGATAAGTCTACTTTTGGCAAAATTAAGCCAACATCACCATATACAAAGTGTCATGATCCCACTTCAGAGCATAAAACTAATTAATATCTGATACCTATTGAACATTTTCAGTTGGGTGGGTTGCATAGAAGTCGAACAGTCATGGAGGTGAAGTGGAGAGGAATTTAAACATCTTCCTCCTGAGAAATTGCGAAAATGGACTTATTGCCTTCTGTCATACCACCACAGAATTAATCCAAGTGTCACTGAACATTCATACATTCAGAATATACTTTCCATCACTCTCCTACAAATCCTGATTCATTCTTTAAAAAAAGGACACAAATAGGCACTCTGAGCATCCCTAGATGGTGCAATGTAAGATGGGTGTGAAATAATTTGCTATAAGTATGAATCATTTTGAAATGGGTATTTTTCCCACAAGGTGTCTTCTAAGATGCATAAGGCATGTAACTCACTGAAAAAAACACTGTCCAGACAAAGAATTGGACAATCTGACATACCAGTGTTATAACTTTAAGAAGGGATGTCTTCAGTTCCTCAATCAATCCTGAAGTGGGAGCAGCACGATCAAGAACATAAAGTGTTGGGAAGAGTTTCTTGAGAGTAGTAGTGTAGTCTCTGAGGGAATCTTGAGATGCAAAGAAGGTAGGGGCTGGACTTTTCAGTGGATTTTTCTCCAAGGCATCAACGAGCAGGTGGACTTGGTCAGCATCCAAGAACACTATCATCACATCTACAACAGACTGCAATGAAGAGGACATTTCTTATTGATAAAAAAAGACAGAGAACTTTCACAATCTAGAAATTTCAAGGATGACAACAGCAAATAACAAGAATAGCACTGACAGTCTCAATGTCAATATGGAGCATCTCAATAATTTCATTTCATTCTCATTCATGCACACATGTTCTTCCAGCACTGAAAATCTTGGCCAAAAAATATAGGTCTTTGTAAAAAAACAAAAAAAAATAACAGGAATAGAAGAATCACATCAACAGGGATGGAGCAATTGCATCACATGATACCACAATATTGAGAAGCATCAGCAGTAGAGTTGGGATCCTGAGCATGTAAAACCAGCAGAAAGATAATGCCATGATAAATTTTCCCTGAGCCTCTTGTATGGAAGAGTTAAGTTCACCCTCCAATAAGGATCATAGGGCGATTTTTCATCTTGGCCAGGTTCAGCATTCCAGCGTGATGTTTCTTTTTACGCTTCACAGCAGCAGAAATAACCTGAAGCAGCTCTTCATCAGAAATTCCATCTCGGAGGGCATCTCGGAGAGAGAATTCAGAGTTTCCAAAAAGACAGACTTTGATGTTGCCGTCAGCTGTGATGCGCAGTCGATTGCAGGAGCCACAGAAGTGCTGTGACATGGATGTGATGAACCCAATCTGGCCCACATGTCCAGGGACCCTGTAGGCCTTGGAAGTGTCATTGGCCTGATCGGTGAGCCGGGTCAAATTGGGAAATTGTCTCTTGATGACGTCCAGCATCTCAAAATATGGAACCATCTTGGTAGTGTTCCACTTGTTCCCATCAAAGGGCATGTATTCAATGAACCGCACATCAACATTCTTTGACTGGGTCCACTCCACAAACTTGCAAATCTCATCTTCATTTATCCCACGTATGACGACGACATTGATCTTCACTGGGCCATATCCCAAATCCAAAGCAACTTCAATCCCTTCCATGACTCTCTCCCATCCTTTGCGCCTGGTAATAAACTCAAATTTGACTGGGATGAGGGTATCAAGGCTTATGTTTAACTGATCCAGTCCAGCTTCATGCCACTGAGGAAGTTTCTTACTAAGTAGAAGGCCATTGGTTGTCATGCTCAGGGTTTCCAATTTCTCAAATTGCTTGAGTCTTCTGATGATCTCAAGTAGATCGGGCCGAACTGTTGGCTCCCCACCTGTGAGACGAATCTTTGTAACGCCCTCATTTACGAACAGCTCTGCCAACTTGATAATCTCATCTGTTGTCAACAGCCTCTGTTTGGGAGTCAGATTCACTCCTTCCTCAGGCATGCAGTACATGCATCGAAGGTTGCATCGCTCAGTCAAGGAAATCCTAAGATAATTGTGGTACCGGCCAAAAGTATCTTCAAGCACTTGGCCTCTTGTCTCTAATGTCACTCCTTCAGATCTTGGGGTGAGATTCTCTTGTTCCACAGGTAATGCCTCGGCAGAAGGTAAGCTGGACTTGAAACGAACGACAGATCCTTCACAATATTTTGAAGCATGGTATCTCAAGGATACAGAAATCCACCGGGACAAACTCAAGGATCTCATTTCAATATGTTGCCTGCTGCAGCATACACCTAATCATATTGCTCATATATGCCACAACCTGCTGGATGAAACATTATAATGAAAGGCAACACAAACCTCAAACTAAAAATGCTCACGTTGTTTAGCAATATAAATTCCATGTTGCACAGGTGCAGTTCTAATGTCATGATACCATCAAGGCAACTAATTTCCTGTCAGTTTAGTTCAATTGGAGAAAATGTGCCTCATATTGAGTATTTGCATTTTGTTATAAAGTGGATGCTGGCTTGATCCTAACCCAAATTCATCAGGAAGAATAACAGCCAGCTCAAATGCCATACCTGGATTGTATGCCCAATCTGACCAAGCATAAATCTTCAAAATGTAATTATTAAACTAGTTCCTGTGAATGACAACCTTAGGGGAGACAGCATGCATAGACCTAGGCCTAGCTCCCCACCTTTGTGAGAGGACAGCTAGCACCGCCTTGGACCATATAGTATGTCCGATCATAAACCGTCATCAAGCCTAAAGAAAACGGCTGGGACTATTTCAGCCAACCTTACCTTTAGACCAAAGGGTTAGACCGCTCTTTCGCGGGCAGGCACAACATTCATGCCAAGACTGTCAGGTTATGCTACTTCACCCTAACATGGAGTGAGAACATTTAACGTAAACCCTCCCCCTCCAGTCTTCTCTTAGATATCTGAATAAAACTTCGGTACTGCGTTACAGGTGAGAGTTCAAAGAATCTCACTGCCTACGGCCATTTCATTACATAACCACCTACGAGACGAAATATGTGAGAAGCACGTGTTCGTCATGTTGACAATACAGTGCTGCCACAGCCGCAGTGTTCCACTTTTCGCAGTTGCCCAGTATCTCATAACCCAAAGAAGCACTCACGGCATAATTTTGCATAAACTGCCGAACGGTGCGCCCAGGAGACAGGGTGTGATCTCCTAAGTAAAGGAGATAGGGAATGTTGAGGGATCCATGACCCTGGATGACCTTATAGAGGGCAGCCCACGCCTCGGCCGACGAGCTCACGACGGCCGCCTTGGCCGTCTTCCCTTCCCCGATCCCCAACTCCTGGAGTCGCTCCATCATGGCCTTCCACAATAAAGAGTTTCGCTCCATCAGAAAAATGAAATCCTCGACGGGACAATGGCAGGACAGGAAAACCGGCTCACCCCGGCCAATTGCTGGCGGGTGGGGAGAAGAGAGAAAACCGCCGGAAGCTGCCGGGAGGCTGGCGGCGCGAGGGATGTGGCAAAAATGACCGGAACCGATGACTCGGCCGAATTTCTGGCGGACGAGACATCCTTCCCCTCACCCATGACCACCGTCCCTGTGAAAAAATAGTTTCACGTACACGAAACAAAAGGAGCATCAAGGGGTTGCGCCATATTAATGACATTTTCTGAATAATAAAAAAGAGACGTACAATGTGAAATGAAATGAATCAAATTTTCAAGGTCTTACTCGAGGGGAAACTCGCCCCAAACGTCCAAGCATGAAGAGATCCATTCGTTCGAGCCGGCTTTTCGTAACTGGAACCGATCGATCTTAGTGCATTTCGAATTTTCGCCTGCGGAGCGATGCCGAGACGAGGCAGAAGAAGGCTGTGTCGCCAGTCTCGACCGTTCTGACCGAATTCGGTCGAAAACGTCGTCAGTGGTGTGTACTTGGGAGCGTCTGTTCCCGCTTAGGTTGTCTGACGATCGCAAAAAATATCGTCCTGATCACTTTGAAAATTGAGATGGGCCCAGATTACGTCTGTTTTCGTCTTTATTGAAAATTTTCGCTGAATAAAAAAAGAAAAAAAGAAAAGAAAAACCGAATATGCATCGCGAATTTTAAGGCACCTCGATCTGCACAGCATATTTATATCAGAAGCTCATCTCACCGAAGAAGCGAAAAACGAGTCCTCATTCGACCTCAACCCTGTTTTCTATCGAACGCTTGATTCCCCCCCCCCCCGCCCCTCCCACCCTCTTTCCCCCTCCCCGCCCTTCCCACCCTCTTCCTCCCCCCTCCCCCCCCCCCCCCCCCCCCCCCCCCCCCTTCCCCCCCCCCCCCCCTCCCCCCCCCTTCCCCCCCCCCCCCCCCCCTCCCCAATCCTGGTAATAAAAAAGAGAGCTGAAGAGGGCACGGAAGGGAATTCCGGTTGAGCGGCGTGATGCCTCTCATCCGCACGGACTACCGGCTCGGAAAGGTAGGGACGCTCACGACCGAGCTCCTCGTGTCCGTGCACGCACACGGCCGCGGACGACGGGGGGCGCCCGACCGGTCACGCGGGCGTCCAGATGGCTCTGTCGTTTCGGAGCCGTCGAAACGAGAAGCCTATAGTTTTCCCCTCGTTTCGAATCGTGCCAGATGGGGAATTTATTTCTGTGTCTCTCGTTCGAGGCTTCTTCCCCGAAACAAAGGAAGAAGTGACGTGATTAATGTTCCACTATGCGGCGAGAATCTCCAGATCTTGATATTACGATCCCTCGAACCATGTCAGAGCGAGGCGAAAGGGAACTCGAATCCCCTTTATCACGGTCAACCAGTCAACGATATCCCCTCGGTCATTTGAGGATGAGCAGAAGCAGGTCTTTGATCCAGACGAAAAAAAAAAACCTTTGACGACGTCTTTAAACGAGTGAATGAGTCCATTGTGGATCCACTGTGGATCCATCGATCTGTAACATCTCGACCGCAGACTCCCCCCTCGCCCTTGTTTTTTTTTTTTCCCCCACTCATTTTCCCATCGTCTTCGTCACGTGAAATCCCAAATTCGCCGGCAATTATTCCGCCACCTCATTCGGCCTCTCCTAATAACCAAGACGTGAGGTAATCGTCGTTCACGCACCCTCGCACGCACGTGCCACTCTCGACACCGCGCATGCTAACAGAGCGGTGACAATACGCATAAGGAGCCTGTGATTATTCCAGGCGAGCGATGCTAACCGGCCGGATCCGAGGCGAATGTCTCAGTTTAATGGGAGGTTGTAATGGGAGGCTTCGGGGAACCGCTCGCGCGTGGGAGGCACCCCAGCTTCGTCGCAAGCAAATCAGCTGATTTGCAATTTTACAAAAAAATTCAGCTGATTTTGCTGATAACTCACCGATGAGTCGTGAGGAATTCTCGGCTGGGATGACCCGTTCCTCGCATGTCTTCACCGGCACCACGCCTAAACGAAAAACAATCACAATCATTCGAGGCTGAATTAATTAATTGCAATCGATCGATCAATGAATCGGGCAATTAACTAAGGCTATTATTCTCGTTTGCAAAGCGCGCTGATCTCCCCCTATATTTTCCTTTGGTTCAGCTCAGGCGTTCTCACGGAACGGTTCTCAAAGGCTCCCAAATCATAATGAGGTCCCAGCTGCTCCGGGACTCTTTTTTCTTTTTTCTTTGAAAATCTGGAGCCGACGGGATCGGCTTCTCCACAATGGGAGATCCGAGCGTGGAAACGACGGGAGAAGAAAAGGGAGAAAAAGGAAAAAAATGTTTAAAAAGTGATGGGGTTTCTCCCACGAGGAGCAGCGCGGCATGTCCCGAGCGATCCATTACACGAGCGATCCATTACGCGGGGCGTTCCATTACATGAGATTGCAACACGGTTCATAACGAGCCATTATTCACCGTCCGATTGAACGGACCTGCACCCGCTGCACCCGCTGCACCCGCTGCACCGGCGCTGCACCCACGCGATCGGCCGACCCGTTTCCCCGTGGGGGAGTCCGCTGTCTCATACGCTGTCTTATCCGCCGTCTTATCCTCCCTCCAGGTGGATGAGGCGCGGGGCGCCGAAGCGGATCGGGACGATGAGAAACCCGGAAAAGACCCGACCGCTACCAAACGCCATCACGACAGGACACCCGAGAATCATCATCATCATCATTATCATCATCGTCATCGTCATCATTATCATTATCGTAATCTTCTCGGAGGAAAACCCGAGGAATTCCAAATATTTTCGAGGCGATCCGCTAAGTTTTTGCAGGCGATCCGCAATGTGGGGCAGCAGTCGGTTTCTCCTCCGATTTTCTTCGCGAGTCATTATTCACTCACACTCACACTCACGCTCACGCTCACGCTCACGAATAACTCCGCCCGAAACGACTTTCGTCAGCAAAACTCCAATTTGCAGAGCGTGGAGAAATTTACCACACGTTGCGCTTCGCTTCCTGCTCTGAAGCATAGGAACGCAATAATAAACTACGATTGCGCAACATTGTATGTGGGGGGGGGGAATTATTATTAAATGGTACTTACCAAGTCTGATGAGAAATTTTATGATAGTACGATTTTATGATTATATGAAATGATAAAAAAAATTGTATCAGTATTTTCGCAATATCGACTCAAAACGTGAAAAAAAAAGAGTAGCAAATTTTTTGCAGAAAAACGCTAATTATTGCTTCCAGGAAGAAGGAAAAAATCCGATGGGATTAAGGGATTAAAGGAATCTGAGGCTCAGCTGAAAGATAAACGGAATGTAAGGGGTTCCACGAGCATAAAGCGATTTCCCAGGAATTTCATCCGGCCGATCGCAGCTCGCGAAATAAAAGGGAATGGGCTGAGACGTTCTCTCCTCGTAAAATAATTAAAAATAATAAAATAAAATAAAATAATGGTTAAAAAAAAAAACGAAATAGGAAAGATTCGCTTCCAAAAAAAATGAAGAAAAAAATTATACGGTGACGCCCCGGTTATCTTAACGTTATTCCGGGGGAAAGGGTGAATCCCTCGTTTCGAGGAAGCACATCGTTTTTATAACAAGTTTTCTTGAACATCAGCGAGGCGATTGGTGCGGAAAAAATTATTTCTTATTTTATTTGGATACCAACCCTTGCAATTTGCCTCCCTGGTTTCATCGGCTCTGCCTCATTTCTTCCTCATTTACCAGTCGGTGACGTCACGAAGGAAGTCAGATGGCTTCATTACGTTCGATTGGATGGTATGATAATGTTAATAATAATAATATTTATGGTACCGGCACGATTGTTGTGCCGATCCGATCGGACCGAGGGAGCTGCGAAATCCCGAAGGAGGAAATAAAAAAAAGAGGGAAAAAAAGAAATTG